CAGCCATGGGTTTTAGCGAATCGGCTGGAGCAAAAAAATCGGGAATAGAGCAAAAAATTAGCAAAAAAATAGCAAAAAAATGTGGTATGGGTCGCGTTTGATTGTGCTGAAGTGGCTGTGCCAGCTTAATAGACGTTACTAACTAATATCGTTGCGTTTTGCATTTGATATTTTTGTACTCATCTTAAATGGTATGTGTTTGACTTATGGACGTACGAAATACTTGGACGGGGCATAATAACGTTGCGGGGTTAAAGCTCAAGGAAAAAGAAGAATAGTGATCAATCGAAAGGCGACGATGGGTAGAGAGACGAAAAGGCGCACTAATACTAATACTAACTGTTCACAAACACGGTGTTACGTGCCTTAGACTAATCAGCCAAGATAGTCGCGATGGATTTTTTCCCTTAGATTTCATTCTCTTGGTACCTTGATAAAAGAGTTCTCTATCTTGGACCTCCGTCCAGATATTTTGTACGCCCATGGTTTCACTCATTCCAATCTTTTACAAATTTTTTTCTTTTTCTTCAGAGTTCCACAGAGCAATTGACGAGGTGCAGTACCATAACGTTGGCGGAGGAAACAGTGGAGAACACCAACAACGTAACAGCATCCCCTACTGTATCCAAAAAAATCATGAGTGTCTGCAAAAGATTACGTTGGATATACCTAGATTTGGCTTTGGCGTTATCAAGTAAGTTTTGGGGATTCTTACGTACCGCTTTTGAATTTAATTTCTACAATCTAATTACTATTCCATTTTCAAAAGTTCAATGCAATCAATAAATTCTCTAATTTTTCCTTGAAACGTATGAGTTTTTGATATATTTCAAAAAGAATGTAAAAGACAGGAGTCCGAAATGATAGAAGATGGTTAGGAAAATATTACAATTCAAATCGATTCTGATTGAATTAATAAAAAGTCATAATGTAATTTCTGTTAACGAAAATATAAAGTTGGCGCGTTTTTTTTTTCTTGTTTTCTGATTTTAACTTTAATAATTTTTCTCAAATTTTGTTGTGCTATTTTAGACTCTTTGAGGAAGAATAAAAATTATCTGATTGCATTATAATAAAATTCTGTAAATACAATATTGATTTCACAACTTTGATATAACGAAAAATATCAGTATGTCGATCTATGTAATATTTTAGTTTTCGTATAACAAATCAAACTAACCAAGACTCCTTATAAATCAAAAGAACTAAGAAAGAACATGGGCAATAGGAGTCAAGCGCGGAAGACGTTGCGCAAATAATTTAACGTTAGTTTTCTAATTGCTATCTCAATAAAGAGACCAACTAAATTTAAAAGTGACTCACAGTGTCTGATACTAACTGGCCAACATATTAGAAACCGGTTTTTGAATTACTAATAGTATTGTTTGTGCGATATGGTGCCTTGTGACCATGGTGAGCTTCCTAACTTTCGGGATAATCAATTATAATTTTAAAATTTTCTAATACATTAATATTTTTCATTTTCTCTATTTCGAGATTTCCAAAATTTCTTTTCTTTTTTTTATTTCATTCTTATCTGGGTTTTATTCTGGCATTTATGTTCTCGATACGGGGGAGCTCACCATGACAAGTTAATATTTGTTATATTTTATATATATGAGTTCATGTTGTCTCTGAAGAAGGCTAAAAAATGAGCCGAAACATGTAAGCGCGTTTAGTAAAATAAAGAAGTTTTACGCTTTATAGTCGTATTATTTGCGCAACGTCTTCCGCGTTTGACTCCTATTGCCCATGTTCTTTCTTAGTTCTTTTGATTTATAAGAAGTCTTAGTTAATTCGATTTGTTGTAAAATTTTATAATGTTATAGTTTTTTAAAAAATCTATCAAGAATCAACAATAAATGCATTTAAATTTTGCGTGACGTTGATGACGAATCCACTAAAAATTCTTAGAAACAATTTAACAAAATATATGATCTTTGAACTCGAAATTGACGATTTTCTTATTCATCCCAGATAAATCTGACTCATATTGATTGACTCCTACTGCCCATGTTCTTTCTTAGTTCTTTTGATTTTAGTTTTCGTTTAGTCTTATATTTTTTTGTATTAAAATTCCATAAAGTGAGTTCGAGGATTATCCGCATATACATGTTTGATAACTTTTAGATTTTGATACACTTTATAGCTTTGTTATAAATCTATAGCTGACAGAGTTTTTCTTTCAGAAAAGATTCGCTATTGTTGCCTTTTTATCAGGTATATCCTTTCTCACGATAAAGAATTGAATTATCAAATTAAAATTTTGCGGTCACTTCCTCGATGCAAGTCACATTATCTACTCCGGTAACGTCTATGATAACCAATTTACCGAATCTAGTATTTAAAGCCCATTTCGCTAATTGAGTGCAGCATGGCTTTTATTAGCCCCATAAATATTCGTGGCGAATGTGCATGTCTTTACGCCTGACGAGAGGAAGTGTTAGCTTGTTAACTGACGCGACTGGCGTTATTGCATTAGCAAGTAAACCGTGAATAGTCGGAAGTACATGCCGCGCATTCTTCCTGAACAGCTAAAAGTGCGAAACTTCGCGGAAACTAGCACGCTATTATAATTAATTTAATCGCGAGCGTTCTCGCTGGCAACTATCTCGTTGTGAAATTGTGAAATAACTTTCTTCTTGATTGAAAAAAACAGCAAAAGATATAATATACTTACGCGCGCGTATAAACCTATGAACCAAGAGAAGAAGTTGAAATAGAAAAGTTAAATAAGATATAAGTACTAATATACAACGTTATTATCGCTTCATGTTGTTCAACTTTATCAAAAAATTTATTTTTTCGACTGCATATACATTGATATTCATAATGCTTTTGTAAAAAAATGGAAAATTAGATCTATTTATCTCATATTACTTATATTTTTTGTTAAATATATTCAATTAATATAATTTTATATATCGCATTAATAAGAAGAGAATTAAAGCTTTTGCATCTGTTGAGATTAACTTTCAGTCATTTCTAATCAATCGTTATTCGATACGATCAGATGAATAACAGACGTAGAATAGAAACGTGAGAATCGGATTCCAACCGAGGTACTTGTCTTTTTTTTCTCTTCGTTTTCCTTTCTGTCGCTTATGCGGTACGAGTGCAGTCTTTTGCATGGAAGCGCATTCGCCGAGGGTGAAACCACGCGTGTAATGAAGCCTGACAGGGAAACCACGAACTGTGTAATGCAATATTACGGACGAATGTTTGACTAGAATTTTTACGGGTGTGCCGCTTTGTGTAATGCAATACATTACAGGCGGGTGTTTAATTAGAATTTTTACGAGCTTGTAGCTTTAAATACCCCTGTGCATCTGTCGCGTAATTATAGCAATGAGTTGCACGATCTCGTTCTAAGCACCGTATACATGCGACAATACAAACGTACGAATGTTATTTAATGGACAGAATTTCTCTTATATGTAGTATATAAGAGCATTTGAAGTACCATACATAATAAAAGTATAGTATCTGTTTCGAACGAGTTGTAATCAAAGTTGGACATTTCCCTTACGTATTTATTGAAATTTATTGTATTTTATCTTTACTCGTAAAACTAAAATACATTTTTCTTGACAAAATGACATCATGACCAGTGAAAAATTGCAAAAAAGCGTAAAAAATAAAAAAAAATGAACCTTAAATGAACTTTTTTTGCATTAAATGTAGATTAAATTTTCTTTCTATATGTGTAGAATTGTAGAATTATTTGAAATTAGGCTTATTCAATTTCAATGATCGATTTTAGTTTGATAAAAAATTTTAGTTTGTCAAGTTTATTTTATAAACAAGTGATAGTTAAATTAATTTATTTTAGGTCAATGTTACTTTCGGCGGTGATGACTGAATTTTTTTATGCTCTTTTCTACCCTTGTGCCGTCTCAATCACATATATATTACGGACAAAACTCTGCACAGATTTTTGCAGGAGAAAAATGAAAAAAAGAAGAAGAAAGAGAAAAAATATAATATATATCCTGAAGTATCAAACGGGGCTTTAACCTTTTAAACGATTACGGCGCAGCCATGTATGTCACACTAGTGGGTGTTGTGTTCTCCCCCGCAACGTTTGTGTCGTACAGATGTGTGCCACTCATCGCCCGTTCTTCTCTTGCTCGCACATATGCAGCGAGCGTGACACACACAGTTAGTTAGACTCGGATTAAGAAGAATTCAAGGCTAATTTGAGTTTAGGGATCGTTCTAGGGGTATAAATGTGCACGTACGACACTGGGCTAACCGGACCTTGTGGAAGTTAAAACAATGTCCGGTCCATCTTCTTGATCACAAAGCTGATGCTGGATCATGCAATGATTTAACGGTTGTACGTCGACACAAATCTGCGAAGTGGAAAGTTATAACGCGCGCGCGCGCGTACTGAAATTATAATTATTTAAACATCAACTAAGCAAAGAGAGAGAGAGAGAGAGAGAGAGAGAGAGAGAGAGAGAGAGAGAGAGTAATCTCTCCGAATAAGCGTGTCATGTAAAAAAATACTATTACAAATTAAAGTAATAAATATAATAAAATAATATAATATATTATGTGTGAAATATAAAATGCATACTTGTGATTGTTAAAATATAATAATTATTAGAAGCTTGTAATAATATTGTAATAATATTCGTAGATAAAAAATTAATAAAATCGTGATATTTTTATACTTTGGTAATTTCGAAGCCACAGTTGATCACATAAATATACCATGATCAAATTTTTAGAAGAACATTTTCAATGATGTATCAGTTAACGTATTTTACCATTTCTTGACATAGCTACACGTTGAAATACGTTAGGAATGAATCACGATACACGTTGCAATTCCTTACTTGTCTACTCGTTTTTCTCTCCGCCGCGATGAGACATCCCGCATCGCGAAAGTGTGACAAAGGACACTTAATCTCCGTAATTTGCTCGTCTCGTTCGTCTTGTTATATATGATAACAATAGTCCCTCGTGGACGCACGAAAGATCAAGGCTACCACGAATTCGAAGACGCATCGTAAAGAAAACAAGATCAAATGTTGACAATTCAAATTTATTCTTACATTCCATATATACATTCCAATCGACGTTTCGTCAGAGAGAGATATTTAGGGAAAAGACTAGTGTTTGAAATGGTACATATAAAATTACAAACGAATACGCTTAATCAAGAAACTAACACTGAATTTTTTCATCATGGCTATATCGATTCTTAATCAAGTTAATAATTAGTAGTATGTTTTTAAAACAGATCATATATTTGACTTAATAGATCTACTCGTATGTTTGTCAAATTAACTTTATTTTTTTCTCTATATAGTAAGAATAAATTTGGATCGTTAATATACACAAATAACAACCATGTATAACTCTTAGTTGCCTGGCTTTATTGTAATATTATACTTTGTTGAGTTATATAAACTGCGCGTCAATTATTGTTGTATTTAAAACGCAATAACTGAAACTTGATCGAATATATAACTTATTTGCTGCGAGCAATTTGATAAGTTTTATCTTCATATAAAAATGAAAAAAGAAGATTACACATATTTATATGTATATTCAACAAATTTGAATTATTCAAACGTATAATTGTCTTGGTAATTTAGTAATTGACTTAACTTTTAAATTTAATACAAAAATAAATATTCGCGTATAACATAATATGATTTATTTGAATTTCGCAGAATTATT